ACTGAAATCAGAACCACAACAACAACAGTGTGAAGGAATAACACGATTAGCCCAAGGCGAAATTCAAAACTCACAGTTTTGGAGTCACCAAAGTCACCGAGGGCACTGCTGGCAATGGAATACAGTCTGAGCTTGTGAGGCTTGCCATTCTTGTCAATCCCATCCGGTATCACTCCGATTGACTGTCCTTCTCTGTAGGGAACCTCTCCTGGGACATAATTACACACGGACAACATGAGCATGAGCTCGGTAGATTAATAATAGGAATGAGGAAGGTAAAGAGCAGAACCCTCGGTGCTGAAAACCATGTGCCACGTCTCTCCAGGAGCATCATCCCCAGTGATCTTAGTGTTGAGCAAGCATCTCCCCGTGTAAGGATTCTTGGGTTTGAACTTGTTCACCACCACTCCTTCTTCCTGTTTCTTGGATTCCTTCTCTACCTTAGCAGCAGGCGCCTCTGTCTCGGTGGTGGTCACTTGGGCTCTGATAGAAACTACCCTCCCGCTGCTATACCCATCCCTGTATTGGAATGCAACCTGAGAGACCACAAAGCACATCATTAGATTCATAATTCATCCCATAATTAAGGGGAAAACATACATGATGCTAAAATTAGACTATCACAGTAACATATGATATACCCTCTTGAATACTAGTTTGTCAGGGGAAACGATGGAGGTTCTGGTCGAGAGAGAGGCGGACTTGGAGGAAGGAAAGGAGAGCGAAGCAGTTACTCCAGAAGCCATGTTTTAGAAAGAAAAAAAACGATAGATGAAGGAGATGATATTTTGCTGAGTTGGTGAAATATGTAAAAAGAGGGAGAAGCGAAGGAAGGGAGTATGTTTTGTCTGGATGCAGATGCGATCAGAGGATTATAAGATTGGGTGGATGAGATTTGGAAGGGAATGCAGTGGTTGATGTGAGGATAAGGTGTTGAGCGATGTATGACTCTCAGCTCTTCCAGGACACCTCCCTGTTTATTTTTCTTTTTTTCTTTTTCAGAAAATGTATATTTTGGGGTTTATTATTAGATTTTAAGGATTCTCTTTGCTGTAGTATAGTAGTTCTCTGTGGCATTGGGGTATTGAGGATGTATGTAATCCTCAAATCGTAAATATCATTGACTTCAACGGGAGTGAGAGACGGCCATTTTGTCGAGAGATTCTCTTGTCAATAGGTGCCACTACATTCGCAATTCAACTTGTCTCTTCATCTATTCCATCCCAATCCCACGCTCGGGCAATACATAGGGATTAAAGAAAGCTACCCCACTCTTCATTTCTGCCAGAACTAGTGATTTTTTCTGGAAACAAAACAAATTATACATTTTCAAGACGTTTTGCTTATATCTGAAATTTCCAACATCATTTCGTTGAAAGATCAATTTTTTTTTCTTCGCGGGATTATGTGAAAACAAATAATATTATAAAAGATTAAAAGGGGAATAACTGCTCTTTTTTTTCTTTGTTGGGTACAAAGAGAGGGCTAGGCCCGGAAAACACAGTGGGAAAAGAACTTTGATAATTCATGGCAATTAGTTATGAACCTTCTGTGGCGCTGAAGAATGAGCTGTACAAACGATGACCAGGAGTGAAGCCCAGTCCAAAATAAAAAAAAAAATGGGCTCAGAACTTCAACACTACATGGGAGGCCCTGTCGCAGAAAGAGAATGCTAAGTGCTAACCGTAAACCGTTCACCAAAAACATAGAGAACGAGTCGGAAAATATGCCCACATGGCTTCACACAGAATTACTTCTAATATGAAAATACAATTGCATAATAAATAAAAAAAACAAAGAAAAGGGAAGAGAGAGGATGATCCTAAAACGGTGAGGTTCATGTAGCAAGCTCAGACGAGGTTGAACAAATTGAGGCTTCGAAGTTTGAACAACGAGAGGGAGTTACAGCCGCTGTCTGGGAGATTCTACAATTGCCCAGTTGCCATTCACGGTCATATCTTTGCCACAAAAAGAGGCCCAGCTTAACATCATGCTTCATGCTTGTTCTTCCACCTTCTCTTCCCATCCCACTCTCCTAAACTATATAACTCGGAGTGGATAGGATGTTGATTTTCTGTCAGAATGTCTTTCTATTGTTCCGTTCCTTCCTAATCAACAAGGTTAGACTGCCTCCAATGTCATGCCAGTTTCTGCTCCCTTGACTCCTTTAAGTACAGGATTTAGGTTGGTAGTGCTTTTCACGGTGGTCACTTGAGGCAGTTTCTGTTCCCTTCATTATTTATCCCTTGTCAATAACATAACTCCCATCTACTTCCGTTGCATGTCCCGGTGGACCAAACCATGTAAATGACACTCAGTTGCAACTTCGAGCATCTGCCTTACCACCACTGCCGCATCTTTTTCCGTATATCGGCTGTCCTTCCTGATTAAAACAAAGCAAGAAGCGGTGAATTTTAATACCAAATATTTCCACTTGATACAGAAATCTAACTGAACAAGTCATCTAATAAATCTGTTCTCAAAAAATAAGTCCCTCTCTCAAAATATCAAAGAAAAAAAATAGCAGTCAACTGTTGGTCAAAATCAGATGAAGTGTAATAAAACAACATGATAAAGAAGCTCAAAAATAAAAACTTGTAAAAAAATAAAATGACAACTTACTCCATAATCTTTATGCATATGAATCGTCCTCAAAAGCATTATAGAGCTAAACCACATTCCTGTAGCCTGTGAGATCTTTCAAAATCTCTACTTTTCGCTTAACATCCTCAACAGCAATCCAAAGAGTCATCTGCCACATATTTTAGGATTAGATAGAGACATGCCAATGACAACTATGACTAATTACTGACATATTAAAGTTTCAAATCCAAATTACAAACATTGCTTTCAGAGCCAATGGTAGCTTCTGCAAAACTTGTAGGGATATATAATACTCGGCTATGCTTTCAAGTTCACTCACACTCAAACAAGTACATGAGGAATGGCTTGGCAGATACGCAACAAAATTAACAATACAACCATGCTAGACAAACACTACTTTCTTGATAGGAGTGAAAATAAGCCAAGTCCTTATCAGGGATTTATATTTTGGTTTACTTTAGGCCTAACCCAACCTATTTACTAAACTAGTATTTAGCCTCGTGCAATTACATCAACTACATATTATTATTACATGATAACAATATTGCTTGTTCAAATAACATCTCAAGTGTTCATTACATCAAAACAAAACAAAATATAATATATTATAATGAGCATGATTATTATCCAAATACATGATTAGAGGAAAAGGATGAAATGAGGAAGTACTATCCAAAGAAGGATAACTTGAAAAGACGTGACAAACTTTGTAGAATAGAGAAAAATATTGCAAAGAAATTTAAATTGACTCACAATTCATAAGTTTAATAAATAACATAACATTTATTTTCTATATCAATTATGGGCATGACAGGTATGGCGCTTCCAAATTATAAAAGATCTCTCGATAAACAACAGCTAGCATTTACTCCTCCTTTGTGATACACAAGAAGCATATGCTTATATTCAATCATCGGAATTTTACAAATAAATATTACAAAAAGGTAAAAATAACTTTTTATTAAAAAATAGATTATCAATAAAAATGATATTACAAAAAAATAACACTAAATTAACTTATCTAATCACCGAACCTTGTTTAATAACAACTTAACTTGTCCAATTACACAATATTGCTCCAGGAAAGCCGAAATTATGACTACTTATATTAAATGAAATGAGTAACCATGCAAAAAACTATAAGAATTGCTTTGATGTGGCAATTGGCGTATACATTTTGCTCATATAAAAATCAAAAGTAAAAAAAGATTGTCATAGATGTAAAAAGTTCACATGAATTTCCAAAAAACAAAAACAAAACTATTTTTATTTAAATACATTAAACTTAACATCACGACTGACAAAATATTTTGAGCAAAAAATTAAGTCCCCTAAGCTCCGTGTATCTTCCAGGGTTTACTCTCTTGTGTGATACTTATATCTTGCTTGATAAAAAGAGATGCCATTTATTCTCATGCAAACTTTTTTTAATGTAATACTTTGGTCATGTTTGGTAGCATTGAATTAGCAAGGTGAAAATAGAATTAAAGATGAAATCCTAATTTAAGTATGATTGGTATGCAAGAGTTGTAATTTTTAAGAATACTAATTCTACTAAAAATGTTAGAATTCAATTCCATCATATTGACTATGGAATTGCTTCAATTCTCTTAAATTCAATTTGTAGACTTCACTATCCTCATTTTTTTTGTCTATTTATAACAAGATAAATCTTTTTAATTTAAAAAAAGGACAATTTAGTCTTTTCCTATTTTAAATACATATAAATTAATATTATATTAAAATTCCATCTTCATACCAAACACACTTTTAAAACTTAATTCTATTCCGATTCTGATTCCAATTCCAATTCCAATTTTAATTCCATTAAAAACTCTTTCATCATACCAACACTTATTAGGTATAATATTTAATATTAAGTATGATGTACATAACTTAAAATTGTTTGAATATTTAATTGAAAATAATAATTTACACAAAATCCAACAAATTAAATTTTTTAGAACTATTAATTAAGATGGCCTTTGAATGGCCAAAACCTAAACACACTACCTTTAATAAACTCAACTATACCTTATGACACTATTTTGCAAAGCCTAGCTTAGCCCTCATGGCCTCAATCCATTCTTTTAAATTTAAAAATATAAAAAAATTTATAATCCTAAAGAAAATTACACATAAGATTATAATTTAGAAAAATAAATCTAATAAATTCACATCACAACAAATATTTAAAACTTAAACATCTAAGTCAAATATCAAATAATATCAAAATTAACACCAATAAAAATTAAACTTTACTAACATCATTAAAAGAGAAATAAATCTAAAATATTTATAATCTACATCTACTATACTTCCCCCTCTTTTAAATTTTAGTAAAAAGGAAGGTTTCATTATTATAAGAAAACTATATAAGAGAACACAATTGGGAATTTAGATCAAAGCTTTAAAGCTAGAAAAAGATCTAAGTGTATGATTAACAATAGCCATAACTTGAAAATTTGAAATAAGATGCCGTTAGCAGAGGATTCATCATAGAAAATGCATCTTCCTCCCTCCCCATAACTTCCAGGACGCTATGCTTACCCCAATCTTCCATGAGGTGTCAAGATGAAGCTTTTATGAGCATAGAGTAAGCCAAGTAATGATATCAATCCCATACAAATTAGTGCACATGCTAGTAGGGAGTTTTTTCCTCTAAACACTCGCTGCAAATTGGCATTCTTTAAGTATGTGATCTATGCTCACAACCGAAGCATGACAAAGTGAGCACCATTGGCCAAGTGTCATTTTCCTTGGAGCTCTCTCAGCATTAGTCTGTAGGCGTCCTTTAACCATGAGCCAGATGAATGTTTTGACCCTTTATGCCAGTAACTTCCATATTTTAGACCATATGACATGTGTTACTTCAAGCTGCCTCTTGCAAAGCTGTATCATAGGATTTGACAATAACCATTAGAAAGTGTTCAAAAGAAAACGTTGCTTCACAAAATATTAATTCTGAAGGGAAACTAAGGAAACAGCCTTTTTTATTTTTTGCCCAATGACAGATATAGAGGGTGATTATACAGATAATTTCCACACTGAAGGAATAATAATCAGATGCAATAATCAACAACCATGTACTCAAGAAACAATACCGTTCATCCTTAAAGGAAAACTGAGCAAGCTCATGGCAGAATCCAAGAGAGAAATCAGTTTTCTTGCAAGAATTATTGAATTATAAATTAAAGAAAAAGAGACTCTAAAGCATTCTTTAAATAAATTAATGGAATTAACTAAAACTTTTTTTAGCAGTATGACCACCTGCCTAACTATTTACATCCATGAGTACAAAGAAACTACTCTTTTTGAAAAGAAACCATGAAAACTAAAGCCCAAGCATGGCATCCATTGTCATGACAGTCTGTAAAACACATTAAAAAGCAACAGTAGTATATAAAAAGGCAACGCATAAACATCTCTAATGCCTGAGCAAGACCCAAAAAGGAAAGTGCGGTTTATGTTATGCCAAAGCACAGGCCATGCTAAGAAGCCCTCACATAGAATTGAACTCCAATAAGTGATTCAAACTTCATAGTTTAGGGTCCAAAGTTCAGACCAACATCTCAACTTTGGTACTTTGGAGTTTGTACTACAGATCCCCTTGATGAGATAGAAGCAAAAGTTGCTATGTTGTCAACATATTCACATGCATTAGGTTTTTTGCACATTCGATTGAGAAAAGATGAGTTTATAACAGATAAATTTTTAGGAGTAGCACTCTTATAGAAAAAATCTTTCAAGTGCAACACTTACAGGCAAGGACTAATGTAATACATAACAGAGCTAGTATTCAACTTCAGCCCCTTCCTCTTCATGAAAATTTCCATGAAGATAGGTCTTACAGCTTCAACAACAACACCCATTTGGTTAATTACTCCAACCCAGTTTATATTTATCTCCCCAAAGGATGCCACTAAAACACCATAAACTAATCACTGACATGATTGCAAGCATCATGTAGCTCATTACCTCAAGTTCTGCACCTACCCCAAGCACAAAAACAACTATAGGCACTGTCATGATAGTGAGAGATGGTGATTGGACAATGACTTTCCACACTGAATGAATAATGATCAGATGCAATAATCAACAACCTTGTGCTCTACAAAAAATACCTATCATCCTTACAGGGAAATTGAGCAAGCTCAAGACAGAATCCAAGAAACAGAGTAGCAAACACTATTCACTAATTAAGGCTAATAGCAAGTTTAAGACTAGTCATTAATATGTTTTAGCATAAAACAACATTTTCCTTAGAAGACCGTGTGATTTTGAGGATTTCCAACAATCAAAGCAACTTTCTTCATGAGGATGGCCACCATCAGCTCTCAAGTCATCAAAAATAAAAATTAAACATGAAGCATAGAAATTGCATCAAGAAAAGATACTTTTAGAAATACCACACACATATTTAGTAGGGATGTTGTATTTTAAATTCAAACTCCGCCTATGTTTATAGCCGGTCCCAAGCCCGGGTAAAGGAGGAGGGTTGTGTTAGGCTATCAACAGCCAATGTAAAAATTTGTTGAATTTATCATGAACATGGACAATAGACGTTATAATGTTAATGCTAGGTCGTTGCCCGTAAGTAACGCGCTGCATGGCTCGAGTACAGTGATAAGTGAGTTAGAGCCGCTACATTGGCGCCCGGATGTAGTGTTAAATGAGCAAAGGCTACCGCATCATTCTGGACGCACGCGGCTAAAGAAGTTAGTCCATAAGAGCAAAATTAGATTTAGTACTTGGAATGTTGGGACATTAAATTGTAAATCTGTAGAAGTTGTAGGGGTTATGATTCAAAGGAAAATCAATATCCTTTGCTTGCAAGAAACAAAATGGTGTGGAGAAGAAGCTAAGGATATTCAAGGTTTCAAACTTTAGTATACAGGAAAAGTAAGGGCACGCAATGGAGTAGGCATCATTATAGATAAGGAGTGAAAGAAGAATGTTGTAGAAGTTAGCAGAATTGGAGACAGAATTATTTCTTTAAAAATGATAATTGGACGTGAGACTGTTAATATTGTTAGCGCTTATGCGCCGCAAGTCGGGACAGAAGCCAGTCTTAAGGAATTATTTTGGGAAGATCTGGAGGGGTTGATTCGACACATACCACAAAGTGAAAAGATTTTTATTGGAGGAGACTTTAATGAGCATGTCGGGAGAGAAGTTGGTCAGTATGCGAGGGTGCATGGTGGTTTTAGTTTTGGAGAGCTAAACAATGAAGGACAAACTCTTCTTGATTTCTCATTGGCGTATGATTTTAAGATTGCCAACACTTGTTTCAAGAAGAGAGATGAGCATCTCATCACTTACAAAAGTAGAGCCTCAAGGTCACAGATTGATTTTCTTTTGGTTAGGAACACAGATAGAAAACTTTGTAAAAATTGTAAGGTGATCCCCGGAGATGTTGTAACGACACAACATAGGGTCCTAATCCTTGATGTGTGTATTATGAGTAAAACCCAAAAACGTCGACAAGTAGTAACACCAAGGATTAGGTGGTGGCAATTAAAAGGTGAGAAGCAAGATATTTTCAAGCGAAATCTTTTGGATAAAGGAATTAGGGATTCTCAGGGAAGTGCTAACATCATATGGGAGGATATGGCTAAAAAGATACGGAAGGTTGCAAAAGTAGTTTTGAGAGAATCGAAAGGTTCTGGTCCGAGAGATAAGGAGTCTTGATGGTGGAATAATAGTGTACAGGATAAAATCAAGTATAAGAAGAACTGTTTTAAAGCCATACATTTGTGTAACAATGAGGAAAATTGGGAGAGGTATCGTATGGCTAAGAAGGAAACTAAGAGAGCTGTGGGTGAAGCTCGTTCTAAAGCTTTTGAAGAATTGTATAAGAACCTTGAGACGAAGGAAGGAGAGCAAAATATTTATAAGATTGCCAAGAGTAGGAAAAGAAAATCAAGAGATCTAGAACAAGTAAGATGTATTAAGGATGAAGAGGGAAGAATTTTAGTTACAGATGATGAAATTAAAAACAGATGAGAGACTTATTTTTCTAAACTTTTCAATGATGGAGAGAATTCATCTAGTAACTTAGAGGATTTAGTAACTGGTGAAGGAGAACAAAATTTGTCTTTTTATCGAATAATACGTGATAAGGAGGTAAAGGAAGCTCTTAAGAAAATGACAAATGGTAGAGCCAACGGACCTGATTGTATATCTATCGAAGCGTGAAAATGTTTAGGTGAAGAAGGGGTAAGATGGTTAACTAAATTATTTAATGTGATTTTACGGTCCAAGAAAATGCCTGATGAGTGGAGGAGAAGTACATTAATTCCTATTTACAAAAATAAAGGAGATATTCAGAATTGTACTAACTATAGAGGGATTAAACTCATGAGCCACACAATGAAATTGTGGGAGAAAGTAATTGAGCACAGGTTGAGATTGGAGACAAGTATTTCTGAGAATCAATTTGGTTTTATGCCAGGTAGATCAACTACAGAAGCGATTTATCTATTAAGGGGATTAATGGAAAAGTATCGTTGTAAAGATAAAGATCTACACATGATTTTTATTGATTTAGAAAAAGCTTATGACCGTATACCAAGAGAAGTGCTTTGGAAAGCGTTGGAAAAAAAGGGAGTACGGATTGCTTATATTAAAGCCATACAAGATATGTATGAGGGGGTAAAAACTAGTATAAGAACGCTTAGTGGTCAAACAAAGGATTTTCCTATAAAGATTGGACTACATCAGGGATCATCTCTGAGTCCTTATTTGTTCAACTTAATTTTAAATGTTTTGACGGAACCTATTCAAGAGGAAATCCCGAAATGTATGCTCTTCGCGGATGATATAGTTCTTATAGCTGAGACAAGAGAAGAGGTTAACTGCAAACTTGAGTTATGGAGGAGGACATTGGAGTCGAAAGGTTTTCGTCTTAGTAAAAGTAAGACGGAATATTTATATTGTAAATTTGGTAAAGGACTATTCGAAAATAATTTGGAAGTGAAATTGGGAGATCAAATTATACCTCAAATGAAAAAGTTTAGATATTTGGGAGCCATTATTCAAAATGATGGCAAAATCAATGGAGATATTTCACATAGAATTCAAGCTGGGTGATTTAATTGGAGAAAAGCTAAAGGAGTTATTTGTGACCGTAAGGTGCCTAATAAACTTAAAGGAAAGTTTTATCGCACTGCTATCAGACAGGCAATGTTATATAGTAGTGAATGCTGGGCTTTAACGGGACAGCAAGAGCATAAAGTTGGAGTAGCAGAGATGAGAATGTTACGATGGATGTGCGGACATACACGTAAAGATAAAATTCGAAATGAGCACATACGCGAAAAAGTGAGGGTGGCACCTATTGAGGAAAAAATGGTAGAAAATCGGTTGAAATGGTTTGGGCATGTACAAAGAAGACCAAGGGAGGCACCAGTGAGAAGAGTGGAACATATAACTTTGAGTCCGATTAAGAGAGGTAGAGGAAGGCCTAAGAGAACACTCTTGGAAGTTGTTGAACGTGATCTCTTAATTAATAATATTCCTAAAAGCTTAATAAATGATAGAGCACAATGGCGTCTTGCAATCCATGTAGCCGACCCCACCTAGTGGGATAAAGGCTTGTTGTTGTTGTTGTTGTTGTATTTTAAATTCACTTCCTTTTGTTGTTCACTTATGATGCATTGAAAAGGCATATGCTTAAGGCAGATCATAAATTGAAAGTTTGGTTCATAGAATGGGGAGAGAAAATGGCAGGTGGGAAAGAATAAGCAGTTTTTTACTGCTTTATGATTGATTGACAGGGCAAATTGGCACATTAAGATACATAGCCTAGAACTCGTGTGTGTGTGTGTGTGTGTGTGTGTCAATGCATGCGAAAGTAATTTCAAAGGATATAGCTCTATTATTCAGTTTCATCATAAGCTTTGCGAGTTACGAATGTACTATTAATTAATATATCATGATAGAGCAAGAAAAATGGAAAGAACAACAGTGATGAATACCTTTTATGGGAACCTGATTTCTCCAAAGTCTCCTGCTCTGAGAGATAGATATTCATCTTTCCCTTCTTATTTGAGGCCCAACGAGGTAATTGATTGCCAACGACATCTCACCAGTGGTCTTGGTAGATGTAGAGCTCTGGATCATTGTGGGATAAAGCAGCTAAGCAAAGAAAACCCAATAATAGAGGTCTTAGATAAAGTAGTTAAGCAATGAAAATATAATCTGGCGCTTCTATGATCTCAATAGTAACTACTATTATTTCAGAAGTTAATCTTAGATGAAGCAGTTAAGCATATTGAACAAAGAGAGAATGGAATTTTTGCTTTCTCAGGAAACAAAATGAAAACTATAATGAGAATCAAGAACCATAGAGATAAACCTGATATCCGCACCAGCTTCATATAAACGACTAAACATTCTGGAGAACCCACAATTAGCAGCAAAGGGGGAAGATCTTAAGAGAGACAACATCTCGTTGGGGAGTCCAACCATGATTTGAATCCCAATTCCCCTGAGAGCCTTGAGAACATCATGCTCCGCTTCAAACAACTTCTCCAACCTGATGATTCAACCATTTCTCAAAGAAAAAGAGTCAAAATCGCAACAAAAAAGATGAATAGAAGAAAAGAAAAAAGAAACCCACCAAGGTTCACGAATTAATCCATCTCTTATGAGCTTCGATGTTTTTACTGCCTTTTATTCACCTGAAGCTCCATCTACTCACTAAAAGATGGTCGACAAACATGAAAAATGGAGGGTGCGACGGCCTCCCCATCTAGATCCAAACGGAGGAAGCGGTAAGGAGAGACACAAAGAGCAATGCAAATAAATCCGAAAACACCCAAAGCGTGAACTCGTCGCTCTGCGGCAGCCACCGTGAGAACTCATATTCCCAAGCCCTGTCCCTTGGTAACCCACAGACGCGAGAGTTGAACGGAGAAAGGGTGGGATGCTAAAGCGGATCTCGAACCAGAAAAGAAAGGAGGTGGAAGGAAGAGAGAAAAGGGAAAAGAAGAAAGAACAGGGGCAGTAGTTGCAGAGAGCCAGAGAGTGATCAGCTTTTTTTCCCTTGAAATTAGAGACTTTGGAGGGAGTTTTGAAACTTGAAAAAAAAAAAAAAAAAGCGGGAACTTTTTCTTAGGCCATATATGCAGCAGATCAAAAATTTAAATCACACGCAGCTTTGGATAAAATCCAGTCAAATGAGCATGCACGGAGCCCCACTCATTAGCTATCGAATCAAGTGAAGATGGCACTGTTCATGTGAAACAGTGTTTTGTGAGAAGAGCTATGATGATTGATGAAGCCGTGTAACTCATTGGCTTAAGTAGTTTTGTTTTTTTATGTTACGATAGACTTAGGTTAAATTCATACTTTTAATTAGATCTATTTAACTAAATTGATTAAATCTATTTTTTCAAGGTCTTGTTTATAAGTCCAACAAGTCGACATATTTATACACACACATTATATAATACTCCGTTCATTAAAAAATATAAAGTATTTTTAACTAAATTTTACTTCCCAATAAAATAATTATCTACTTTTAAAATAATCTTATATTTTTATATTTATCCTTATTGAACACCCTATAATAAATATAAAGTCACTATCAATAGGGACATTTTTGAAAAAAAGTCAATGATTATATCTCAAAAGATCAAAAATATCTTATATTTTTTAACATCCAACTCCTTAAAAAATGTCTTATATGTTTGAACAAAAGGAGTATACCATACACACATCAATTTCACTATTTAATGTTTAATCAATCTATTATTTTTTATTTCTAATTATATATTAATTTTAATGTTATTACTTTATTATTGTATTGTATTATAGTTGGTAAATCCTTTTAATTATTATACATTATAACCAATAAATTAAGTTATATATTATATATTAATAGTTTTAAAGTATATTTGAGATGTTTAAAATTAAAATGTAAGTCTATTTAAAAGACTTACTTTTAAACTTTTAAATTAAGCTAGACTTTAGATAGGTTTAGGCTTAAAATCTCAGGTTAGATTTAACCCTCAAACTTATTACACAAATTCAAACCTATTTAATTAAAATCCAACTCGACTTAATCTATTTCTGTTCCTAGTTCCTGGTAAGAAAATTTACTAAATTCATTATTCATCAACCTCATGCAGATCCTCAAGAAGTTTGAAAAACGTTTGAAACTTTGGTTAGGGATGACCATAATCCAGAACCAAGCCTCCGGTCAACAAAACTTGTACCTTCATTCTGAACACACTCGTCTCTGGCGCAGCGCAGAATAACATTCAAGAGTTCAGGAACCAAAAGTTGAGACACCAGAGCCGTCAACTCATGGTTCACCCTTGGGAAATGTCTTCTACACTCGAGATAAAAGTGGGGTCTTTGATGAGCAGGACAGTTGGGGTCTACAGTCTGTCGCAGGGCCAATTCCTCATTACCTTCAAAAAGAGCTTTCAGGTTCAACACTTCTTATGCTCAAAACTACAGTATTCTATTCCAGGCGAATTCTAAAATCAAGAGTACCAATGGAGCAATCAGTAATAATGCTTCATCGTGCTGATAACCAATTCGAAATAAACTAACCGTTGTTGGTTACATGTTGCTAGTCATCATTCATCAATGGTAACAAATCCCTTGAGTTTTTGACCTATAAAATCCCCTTTAGTCGCATGTTATCACAACAAAGTGCTATGTCTAATAGGTGCTATCGTTTTGTTTTAGCTAGAAATTATCACCTGATGTCAAGGTCATTGTCATTATAATAACAAATAGTTACCAGGTGGTAACCAAAACAAAAATGGTTACTGATTACACTGAACTACTCAAGTCTTCAAGGAGCGGAACAAATAATAAATTACGACATGTTGTTATGACAGTTGAAAATACACACGAAGAATTGAAGAATGCATTTGACTGTATATACACCCCCGAGAATGATGGAAAAGAAACGAATGAATGAAAACCTCTACACGGCCAACAACAAACTCTTGTATTGATGAAATCAATGGAATCCTCTTGAACCTCTAGACTGGTAAAGCTCCAACCTACTCCTGGCTTCTTGCAACAACGCCTCGATTGTTTCCTCCTGCGTCATGGAGGATTGCTTGGATGCCCATTCCAGCACCGTGAGCACCTCAGCCTTGGCGAGTTCTTCACTGTCTGGGACATGCAGTGCTATGTAGCAGAGCAAAACTAGTGCTGAAATCTGAACGATCTGTTCTCCAAAATACACAAGCTGTACCAAATGTTTTGCCCCACCAGCACTTATTATCGCCTTGGAGTGATCCAGGTGAAGGTAGTTCTCCGAGCAGGCAAATTTGGTGAGGGCTATACATGCCTCTCTTGATACCTCTGCTTCTCTTTCATCCAAGAGTCGCACTAAGGGAGCAATCATCCCTGTCTCCGTTGCTCTAAATGTCCTCGCTAAATTCCCAACAGCCTTCATGCAAGGAATCAACAGGTCTGAATCTGCCTTCTCTATGACCTTAAGCACTTGATCAACCACTGCTTTGCATGCAGGAGAGTTAGGCTTGAACGCAGATCTTCTCAGATCCGCATCTTCCTCTGCCATTGCAGTGATCTCCATCACCGCCATAGCAGAATTGAACTGCACATCTTGACGTCCTTTCTCAAGGAGAACTGCAAAGCACAGGAGAGCCCTTGATTCTGTGATGCTACGACAAATGGGTGAGTTACCCTTGGCTAGGTGCCACAGCGCTCTCGCCGCCATTGCTTTCATATTGGCCTTAGTCTCAGGGTTCTCCAGTTCCCTTCCCTTCATGTTAATACCCGAATGTGAGTAGCTAGGCTGGTGATGCGGTTGATGAGTTTGTTTCCCGTTACTCAGACCATTGCTCTTGGGTTGATTGGTTTGGGAGTTCTGATTCTGAATTCCTTCATCAGACTTGGAAGTAGCATTCATTGCCATGGTACTTGTGATCACTCGATGCAGCTCAGAAGCTGTTCCATTACCCAATGGATGTAATGGATGCAGCATCCGACTCTTAACCTGATTCTCGTCTTCCTCGTTGGACTTTTTGGTATTGGTGTTATTAGAGTTAGAATTACTACTTGCCATCACAACGGCGTGGATTGACGTAGGTTTGATGCGATCAATGGCATACTTACTGTGTTCTTGAACGGTTTCAAATGCAAGATGGCTGACGAGTAATCGGATTATATTGTGCTGAGCAAAGAGATCTTGGCATTTGGGATAATTCGCCGCCAGCTCCGACACAGCCCAGGCCACCACAGCTTGCACTTTCATGGGACCATCTTTAAGGATTTTGGCAAACACAGAGCATATTCCGGCGTGGAGCAGGTGCTCGACGCTCTCGGGGTCACGACCCAGAAGGCCCATTGCTCTCGCAGCATTCTCTTGACCTTCTATCTTACCCTCTTTGAGCAATTTCAGCAGCGGTCCAACCCCACCTTCCTCGATTATCAACTTCCCGTATCGATCGTTGTCCCGAGCAAGTGACACCAGCGAAGCCGCCGCATCAGATCGCTCCTCCAGAGAACCCGTGTAAAGAGTCGCCACCTGCTCCCATATGAGATACAGATTCGGTTCGTTTGCCGCGATCGGAGGAAGACCCAGATACTCGTCACCGCGATCCCCCGCCGGAGCGGACACGCGAAGGAGCCAGGACACGTCTCCGATTGAGTTCTCGAGCTGGGTAGACATCTTACGAAAGGCGGCGGCGGGTATGATGCTGAACACGCGCTTCACTAGGCCATTAGCGCGGCATTTAAGAATCAAGGAGTGGGCTTTGGTGAGGACCTGTTCAGTTTCATCGATGATCCGCCTCGTAGGACGTTCGTAGAGATCGGAGCTGGCTCTCGCGGCCTGCCGGAGAAGCCCCGCGAGTCTCTCGGATTTGTATTTGAGCTCCGCGCATTCGTGCCTGAAGGAAGCGCTCGCCTCATCGGCTGCTTTGATTACTTGGTCGGCTAGCTGGATTGGTTTTGCCAAGATTTGCTTCAGAGAGTCCGCCATGGCAGCAAACAGGGCCCCGAGTTCTGGGTTTTGATTGAGAGAACGATGGGATATAAAAAAGGAACGGAAGGAGAAGGGTGGGTGTTTCTAGGCCTTCAAATTTGGCGGTGATGAAGGGAGATGATGGGCGCGGTGTTGTCTGTGAAAAGAGAAGATTGGGAGAATGAGATGATGGAGGGGATGGTGGGGCTGGAGCGTCCGAGCACTAAGTTGCAACTGCAGAACGAGTCTGTCACGGCGGACGGAATTTACAAGGTCAAACGCGCTTCCTTCGTCGTCTAATAACCTAGACCCAACTTGCCGTGGTTGAAATTTTGACGACTTTGAAAGTAGTTGAATCGTACAACGCATGTTTATTTGCGTAAAAATGCGAATACTCGATTCTCCATTGCTTTTCACTTTCTGCTTTTGCTCCCCCTTCTATTCGTCAAAAGATTTCAATGGATGCTCGTTTCCACCACTACCAGTGTGTACTTTTAATTTACATGTGTATAGTATAAATTAAGACTCCATTTGGTATAAAATACAAATAAGAATGAGAATGGGGGAAAACGAATGATATGATAATTCATAACAATGCTTTCCTGCAAAGATGCCTTTTTAGCCTTCAATGTATGTTAACGTTTCTCTACCTCCACTGGTCTCAATATGAAGTCATGAACAATTCTAGTGAGGCTGATTAATTAGGCCAGAGGGCAATACTAGAAATTGTTCAAAATTATATCTCTGCACAGTAATGATAATACTTGACAGGTATCCCTTTAAGTAATAGTGGATGCAGATAGAAAGCAATCAAAAAGAAAACATTAAGTATTGAAATCTTAATGGTTACATTTTAAAATACATAAAAAAAAAATGATACACGCCCTGCTTGATTTTATTTATAAGACAAAAAGAAAAAATTAATTTTAATCCAATCTATAAGTTACTTAATTATTTTTTATGTTTATATTTTATATCTTTATCTTGCTGTCCTTGTTAAATTTTGAGAAACATTATTAAAAATATTACTTCATTTTGTCCTTATTAAGGGTTAGAGGTAGAAACTTAATAATAGATTAAATGAGATTTAAGTTTTTTGATAAAAATATATTGAAAATCACTTATAAATAGGATTAAAGAACAACTCTCTCTCTCCCCCCCTGCCTTATCATCCATTTTAGAATGTATTTCAATGTGCTTTTGGTAAAACAAAATAATAATAATATGGATTGGATTGTTAAAAAATATTTCAAAATATTAAAGGCAAAAGACTACCTATTGAAAAATTATTTTAAGAAAAAAATGAAGGAAAAAAAAAAAGAAGCGCTAAAAGTGGATGGGTGTAATATTCTCACTCCACTAAATCCAATTAACTAATAAAACTCATGACAATCAAAGGATTAACTCAAAGAGTTATTATCAAGGTTTAGTTTAAAAGTAAGGGATCTCAAGTTTTCTAAATAACAATGAATTTAAATTAATCAAAATCTTTTATATCAAAGTAAAAATAAAATTTGAAAGCATGAGATGCCTCAAAGGAGTGAAAGAAGTCAAAAATGGTTGAAAAACAAAACATATGCTGTGATACAGGGCAATGCGCTGCAACTCGTACACACTGCGCTGCGGTGTGTTGCTCTCTGTGCCACATGTGATGGCTCAAGCGCCATACGCTGCAGCATGTTGCACGAAAATTCAACAGATTTTACTATCATTTAACAGTAGAATCGGGGGACTTCTGATATGCCTTGATTTTCCGTCGACATTCGAATGACGTGATCTAGGTGTCTATGAAAAGCTCTTTACATGAACTAACTAATGGCATGGATTTCACTTTCAAAACTAGTCACACTAGAAAGTTGGACACCTAAACATATTTTAACCATTTCACAACTTTTACACAAAAATGGGTGTCCAAAACCCTCAACATATATCAAAAACCTTTCTTAACACCTGAACTATATTCATTAGACTCAAGACTACCAGTATAACATGTACAAGTACTAAAATCTCAATATAACAAAAACTCACTCCTCAACATCTTTTCACAAAAAATAGAGGGGGAGGTAAATTGGCATTACATTTTGCCCAAATCAATCAAAACGTGTTCAAATCATCATTTCTATACTTGCACTAATATTTTGGCCTTATAAACATATATATCTCAATATACACAAATATTCAGGGTTCAAAATACAAATCTAACATTTGCAATAACAAAATAGTATAAGTGTAATGGCATACATCCTAAAATTGACATTTATTTATTATTACACAAAATAAATCTAAGCCTGAGGCATACAGTAGAAATGTGATAATTCCTAACCTCTTGAGCCTTATTCCTCTCTACAAAAGAGCTAGAGCTTGAAAAGTATTAAATAAAAGGAATGAGTCTAGCCACTCAGTAACCAAGGTAGAACATATCATATGTAATTATATATCAATCATAAACTAGGCATATGCATAAGAAATCAAGTAAGTAAAATATGCTCACACATATCATAACTTGTCATTTATCATTTATCATTTAATAATTTCTTTATCTCACATATACTAGGTATATTGTCATCATATTCTCATATATGAGATCATGACCCATTTTTCACACGACTTATCATAACTTAACATGTGTGACATGTCATATATGTACTTTAGCAATGATCAACCAACCTTATATTCTTCTTATTTCCTCAGACTGGAACCGTAGGCTATAACACTGAATAGGGCTTCGTTTGTGTGATTGGACTACCCAAACTCACTAATCATAAGGTATGACCTGGCTAAAGATCAAATGACTCACTCGAACCACGGCTTCTCCCATTCTCAAATCTCTAGGGTATCTCATACCCTAAACTATTCTCCTTGTTAAACTAGCAAAGATAGCTAGGTTTTAGTCCCTCGACAAACTATGGGACACTTCCTCGACAAACTGTAGGACAAGGCTATAGCTCCGTGCATCGGAGAGCAGCTTAAATACCATGTGGATGTTTTTCTCTACTTCCAATCCCTAGGCGAACTCTTGCCCACTGATCATACCATAGACAACACTCACTTTTTTCACTTTATCCTTTACTCATTATCAAAATTAACACATTGGGCTCACAACCAAGCACTGCCTAAGTGTACATTGATTTTTATCATTCACTTATATCACATACACCTATTTTTCAATCACAATTGCTCACCTTTATCAAATCAATCAATTACTACTCATTTACTACATATCATCACATTCATCTTTCTAAAAACATATGCATATTCATAGTTCAAAAACATCTTGATTTGACATTTGGATTTTAAACCACAATAACATTATGCACATTAAATTTTCATACACTCATTGAACTAATACATGCTTTCACATTAACAATCAAACCCATGTACGTAACATTCACAATTCACAGTTAACAATTAATTAACAATCAATTAACATGTAACTACTCAAATTAGGGTTCCCTCTATTACCTCAAACTTTTGAGAGGTCAAATGGTTACCCCTCAATCTACTAGCTTTCAAGCTTGAATTTTCCAATCCAATAGGTGACCAAGAGCCAAACACTACAGTCAACCAAGTTAAATTTCATCAACATTACCATCTCAAGCATTAAACCCTCAATTTTCACGTTTAAATTGCCAAACATTTACTCCACAAGAATTTGAGCTTATCCCTTAGGTTTATTAATTAACTTTAATCCCCAATAATATTAATGAACCATTAAATTTTCATTAATGGCATTACAATCTTCCAACCACCCATGATAAATGAGATTTTTAGATATTAATGGTGCCCAACAACTCAAGACACTGAAAATTCATTATACTAGTTTTAGATACTTTAATCTATTCCCATTAATTTCATTTGAGTCAATAAATTCGGACCCATAACTCATATGGATTGAAAATTCACTTTCACTATCAAACCCTAACTATAAACTCATAAATGTGAAAAAAATGGAGAGATTAATGAGTGTAATATTTACCTTGGGTGTTTGTAGCCTCTAAAATACTCCCAATGTCATTCACAAGAAAACCCTAATAGAGCTTAGTACGTCTTTTCTGTTTTCTCTCTTCTTTCTCTCTGTTTTTTGCATCCGTGCACCGTGGTGCCTGTCCTCATACGCCGTGACATATGGTACAGAGAAAGAAATTCTTGCCTGATGGTCTCATGTGCCATAACACACTGAGCACGCGCTGTGGCATATAGCATAGAGGCTATTTAACTTGTTTTTCTCTACTTAGTCTCTAAGTGACCCAATTTTAATTTTGGACCTAAATTATGCCTGAAAATCTAACTAAAAACACTTATTATTCTCCTCTAATCACACACCACATCAATTTACTTAATTATTCTTATTAATCTTAGTAAATCAGGAAATTAAAAATTAGAATATTACAATAAGAGTGATAGATAAGGAAGAGAGGCGATCTATGGTGAGGAAGGGATAATGTCTCCAGCGAGAAATATGGAAGTTGAAAGGGGCCATGTATTCTTCCATTTTGTTGTTTTTCAACCAAAAGCCGTGAAGCAAATTGTGTATCCACTCACCTTCAATTTTCCATCTACCTGCCTTCCATTTACATGTCTATTTGTTTCACAGAGTCATGTAATTTTGTAATTTACAATCCCCATCAGCCTGACTCAGTCATTTATTAAATTATGGTATCCCTTGTGTAAAGAATTCATTTTTAGTTAATTGTATAGGTAATTTTGATGACATGAATATACAGAGAAAGCTTTGGAAGATTAATTGGCGTTGATGGATGTGATTTTCATAAAGAATAAGGAAATTATAAGACATGAGTAAGAAGCTAGTAACTACGATGCTTTATTCATTCAGTGAGTTTTATATACTACTCCTTGCCTCCTCCTTTGTACCTCCCTTTATACTTATATTTCCCATCACAAATTAAGCCATCAAATGGTACATAGCTAAATTGGGAAGAATACAAGTGGGTTTTCTTCAACCACCACTTTCCAGTCTCCTTTAGAGATGAGAAAGAGGAGGAGTTTCATGCTTTTAGATAGGAAGATCTAGACAAGGAAGAATTTATCAAGAAGTTTAATGAGTTATCAGCCTATTCTACTTATTTTCAGCATAGTAGTTACACAAGGTGGAAGGCTGAGAGGTTGTTGGAGAAAATGCACTAAGAGTACCATTAGCAGATTGCTTTATTTGATGTGACCACTTATGAAAGGATATGCAATAGCACAACCCCTAGCCCGTTACATTGGTGAATGTGGTGCTACATTTGTCCTCTTACGAGCCCACATGCGACTTTCCCCATGGTAGTGCATGAATTATTCCTCACCCTACCAAAGAGATCTTTTGGAACCTTTTTCGAGATCGAGCCCTCAACCTCTCCTACCTTAGTGAAATTATGGCCAACCTTGGTACTGTTAAGGTATCAGAGGTCGTGTTGTGA